AAACCAATGATGGTAAGATGATGTCATGGGGTAGGACTGGATAAGTCTGACTTCTTCCTACTCCATTCAAACATGTACTAGGTATAAGTACATTGATAATGGATTAGCATTTGTTGGATATGTGTAAAATTATGTGTGTTGACATATCAACTGTCTTTACATGCTTGAAAGAATAAATCAAATCAAATCAAATCAAATCAAAATCAAACAGCTCTCATCAACACAGCTGCTGTGTGAAGCTGCTCCTAATCAGGAACATGTCTGATAACAAATGACTCTGCTGTTCTCTGCCCTTGGTCTTTTGGTTGCAGAGGTGAAAAACAAGGAGAAACCACACTAAATGAGTGAAATCATGGACACTACAGCGACAGGCTGAAGGGGGTGTCCTGAACCATTCTCTTCTAGTGCACTGATTCGCTCAGCTCAACAGCCAATCATAGTGGTCTCTCCATCACCAACGAAGCCTGGCACCGATTCAACATGTCAAATTGGGCGAAAAGCCGCCAACAGGGCCTGACTAGTGCCAACAGTGTCATACACACTGAAGTCGAGCCCCAACAGACGCTCACTGAAGGCTTTCCGTTGGTGTGGCCCTGCCCTTACAGCTTCAACCACAGATTCTTGTCATTATTAAACTGATCACTTTGTGATTGATCAGTTAAACTAAGCACAAATCAGTTAATTAAACTCCCTCCAGTCTAAATATGCAGTTTAATTCACAGGTGGAAAGTAACTAAGTACATTTAGCCAAGTACAACAGTAATGTATTTGTATTTTGCTTGAGTATTTCCATTTCCTGCTCCTTCATCCTGTGACTCCATGTCAGAGACAGACCGTGTACTTTTTACTGCACTACATGTACCTGATACCTTCAGGTCCAGAACCAGATGAATCAAACTAAACCCAGTAGAACCATCAGACTCTATTGATCCCAGTAGGAAATCCACCAGCTACCCAGCAGGATGGAAAGTACTTCCCAGTATAAGTATATAAGGTAGTTACCATCAGCTCCACCTTTACCAGCTGCAGCGTTAGGGAGTGATGAAGACAGTAACGCAATAATCCAATATATAATAGACATTAATATGAAATGAGCCATTCTGTAGAATCACTGCTGGTACTTTGGATACTTCAAGTACATTTTGATTCTGATACTGCTGTACTTTTACTTACATACAATTTAAATACAGGACGCTACACTGTGATATTACTACTTTTACTTAAGTAAATGATCCGAGTACGTCTTCTTCCAATCACAGCCTCAATAATTACATTTAATCATGTATGTGTTAAGTTTCTCTTCCTGTAAATCATGTCACAGTAAAAGTCCATGGGCTGCAGCGCACCCAGTGTGGATCAGTGCTGCAGAAACAAGTTCGGTATCTGGGACTGAAACAAGAAGCCCTGCTGGACTTAAGAGGGCAGGTCAGTGTGCCGAGGAAGACCGAGTTACAGCTGAAAGCTCCAGAGCAGTTTCTAAATGAACACTCGTCATTACGGTGTGGTATTATGAGATGTTACATCAGCTGCCTCCCCGTCCTCGACGGGTTCTGCTCCTCTTTCTATCCCCAAAGTTATTCACTTCAAACGTAGACTGAAAGATCATTTCACATGATGGAAACCCACGTAACTCATCCATCGCAAAATCTGCAAAGTTCAGGTCACACTGCTCGTCGGCAGACTGCCGCACTAATCACCGTTTGTAGAACTGGTGTGGAACCAGATCCCCTTTTGAACCTTATAAACTAGCTGCACCGGGGGCACAGATGGCCGTGACCCAGCTCAGACTCCGAGAAGGTTCACAATACGGAGACTCAGGGGAAATGCATAACGTGACAAGACGAATTTCCTATTTTTTTTTTTCTGTTCCGACAGTTGCATGTGCGCGTTCTGGTTATCTGCGAAAATACGTGAAAATTCAACCTTTCTCTATGGAGTTTGGTAAAGTAGCCAACAGCGTGCTAATGTGTAGCAGCAGAGGTCACTGACACAGCTACTCACACAAAGATCGTGAGCTCACCTGGAAATGTTCCGGGACTGCTTCTTCTACTTCTCCTTTTTCAGAGCCACAAAACAAAAACAGTCAAAAGTACTAAAATAAAAACAAAGGGAAGAACAAGAAGAAGAAAGTCGTTGATCTGTTCGACTTCTCTTCACCGTCTGCCTTTCTGCACTATCCACCATCACTTCCGTGTGCCTGCGTCATGAGGTCCATACGCATTACAGGGGAGGAGTCTTGACTTTTTAGACCAATCAGAAAAGGAGCTCTAGAGCGCGGGGCGGGGCTTTGCCGAAGCCACGTCAGCGGGTTTGCAGTTACCAGTTAGTCGTATTTGCTTCATAAAATAAAGTGTAAAAAACATCAAAATATCACAAAGAACACACTGTGTATGCAGACCGGAACTTTTAATTCACTTATTTATTTACAATCAACAGTGGCTGAAGAATTAGACTAAGATTTTTCACAGTAAAAGTATTAATACTACAGTATAAAAAATAAAGTACTGCATTCAATTTGGTCAATGTTCCTCATGTATGTTTATAAAATGTTACTTATAAATGCTATATTTACATATACAATTTTTGCAAATCTGTTTGTCCACACTCTAAATCCGTTATGCTGATTTATTCTGTACACATATGTATTTCCTGTTTGTTCATGCTGAAGAAAGATCCCTCCTCTGTTGTTCTTCCTGAGCTTTCTTCCATGTTTCCCCAGTAAAGATCCCATAAATGTTTGTTTATATGCCCTAAAATGTCAAACCTCTACTGCACTGACTACGATTAGCTGGTTGCTAATAACATAAGCACCCAATCTTCCTTTTCAAGGACCCATGCAACCTCTTTCCAGACTTCAGGCCCCTTAGCCTTCATGCCCTCTGCTGGTCTTCTACTTGAAAATGTATGTGTTTGGCCAAAACACAGAGGAGCAACACACAGTTTCAGCCAATCAACATTTAGTTTAATATTTTATCACCACCACCTCACAAACATCACCAGGAAGTCACACGGTCACAAAAGGAAAAGACTGTAGAACTATACAACAGTTTCACAATAAGGGCCTTTCCACATCTTCCCACCAATCAGGTTAGAGAGCAGAAAGAAGTCCTGACTTCTCATTGGAGGAGACTTAAAAGAAACACAGCCAATCTCTCATTTAGTTTTACCTTTCTATAAACCGACACCTGATTTTCTCATCAACAGACAGGCAGTGAAGAAAAACACACCATGTTTGAGTCAGAAAAGTTAACAAAAACAAAGTTTAACAAAGCAAAAGTTTGGACACAATCAATATGAAAATGTACCCAAACCTTTACCCGTTGGTGTGTATAAATAAATAAATCTACACAGAAACACCAACATTTAATTATGCTCATCTTCGTGCAAAGCAGGAAAACAGGAAGAAATGAACACTGCACCTTCAAAATAAAATATCAATTTTTGAATCACAAACTAAAATACATTGCACTAAAAAGGTTTCAGCTGTGACCAAAACTAATGTTGCAAATATCCATGTTTAATCTGTTTGCCCCGCCCCCTATGGTATTGATCACGCCCCTGGTAGCTTGTAGTCCCGCCCCTTCACCCAGCCACGCGGTAGTTAGCATGAAACTCTGGCTGGATGTCACAGACACGTCGCAGCAACTCGCCAAGCACAGTCTCCCGGTTACCACGGTAACTGTCCTGGATACGCACCATCCGGTCAGATGTGTCACGGTCCACCTCCACCGCACTGTTACCATGGGAACCAAGAGCCTGGGGGAAGGGACAGAAAACATTAAATGAACTGCAGACAAGAGTTATAATGAAATTAATGCGTCAGGAGATGATACAAAAGTCAACAATGGTTAAAAAAATATCTAAAGAGAACATGAAGTTGTCATTACACCATGTTAAATTTTGGGAAATGCACCATTTTGGGAGTTCATAGTCATCAACATCATAGTGATATACCACCACATACGGTACATCTCTACTATCTCCCAGAAGCTGAAATGGACACCCAACCTCAGCATCAACACCAGGAAGGCACAGCAGAGTGTTAGATTTTTACCTGGTTCTTTTATTGAAAGCACGAAAAGTGAAGACAGGGGAGGACTGTATAAAATCAACAGGAAGTTTACTCAAAGTCTGGGCACAGGTGAAGTCTTACAGCGCTGGGATCAGAGAGCCAAAGCTCAGGCAGGAAATCCGTTCTCTGAACCACGAGTTATTCTTTCTCATTACATTTATCTTCTTGGGCTGGGCCCATCCTGGACAGTTACAACATTTCACACTTTTTAATCCTATTGGCCATTTGGTGTGAGCAGGTCAACCCCTGCCTGCACCTGCTTGCTGAAATGTGATCTAAACCAGGTGTGTGTGTTGCGATTGTAACACACGGCAACTGATTAATGAACACAACTGTCTGTCTGCACTGCAGACCCCTTATCTGTGTAGACTAAAGCAGGACCTAGTGAGTATGCTAATTGGGCCAGGTGGTCATCTCAGGTGTAGGCCCCCGTCTCTACAAGACACCACATGACAAAGCAGAACTTGGAATATGCTGAACAGGCCTAGGTGAAGGTGCAAAACAGGCAAACAGGTCTTTGTTAAAATGTAAAATAGGCCGTCTGGGTTCTTGAAGGCACAGACATCATGTCTCCACAGAATACAGCATACAGGTCCAAAGTGTCACTCAGAGAACATGGAAGTCATCAATAGTTTTAATGTGTATAAGCAAGGAAAAATAAAGTTATGAAAAGTAACTAAAGATGATAAAGTAACTAGAGCCTATAAGATTCAAATCTTAAAAGAGGATGAACTTCCTGCCCCAGGAGCTGCTGATACAGTTCTACAGAGGAATCATCGAGTCTGTTCTCTGCACCTCCATCACTGTCTGGTTTGGCAAACCTCACAACCTGGACACAATCTGTTTGAACTCCTTCCCTCTGGGTGGTGTTACAGGTCACTGTGCACCAAGACAACCAGGTACAGGGTCAGTCTCTTCCTCTGGGCTGTCAGTCTGATTAACAGTCACAAGCTGGAAGATACCAATTCACTTCATCTTTCCTCACCCCACTTTCATCTAAGATGGTATCTTCCAGCTTCTGACTGGCTGAACACACCTGAGCCAGGTAATCAGCAGCAGGGCAGGCAGGGATAGTTGGAAAACAAGCAGGACAGCGGCCCTCGAGGACTGGAATTGGCCACCCCAAGTTAATCCATGGCTGTGTAACAACAACCAATACTATCCCATACAGCTACATACACTAGCAGATGCTTCACCTCCATCCAAATGTCCACTCTGGTGCCGAGTCTGAACACAGACAGGACAGAAGTGTGTGTGTGTGTGTGTGTGTGTGTGTGTGTGTGTGTGTATCATCTGCCAGCAGATGCTAGTTAGCATTAGCTCCTGAACCGAAAGCTGAGCTCAGGATGCAAAGTCATTTTTCAGTCTGTTGCTCTCTTCGACAGGTTCTCTAGGTCCACTACAGCCACCTAAGGTTATCCATTCTGAATTACCAGTCAGTAAAGTGACTTTTTAACCAAATAAAACAAGAACATATGGCACCTCCCTCCCAAAATGGCGACCCTGTCCCAACATCCAACACAGGGTGGCACACCTTCACATCCTTTTGTGTGAAAAATTAAAAACTGAACAAATTACAGTTTAGTTTTAACAGAAAATAAAAGTAAAAAAAAACAAAAACAACAACAGTAAAATATAAAGGTGAGTGACAAACAAACAGGATGAATGTGGACGCAATGAGGTGAAGATGACGTACTGCGGCCTCTTTGGTCTTAAACTCTTTCTCTCTCTGCAGCCGGTACTGTTCGATCTCGGCCTGGGCTTCTTCCTTCGCCTGCTTCAGACGGCGGTTCTTACCTGTACTTAGGGAGAGGGAGAGGGGGAGAGGGGGAGAGAGAGAGAGAGAGAGAGAGAGAGAGAGAGAGAGAGAGTCACAGCGCATTGAGATAAGATGATATACAAACAAATATATTTGTTCATGTGCGGCTGGAATGACGTGTTGCTTTTAACTAAACTCTGTGTTTGTAGTATTTTGTTCCCATGCGCGGGTCACCTGTTCTCTCTCTCTCTCTCTCTCACCCCCATTCATTCTCTCTGACTCTTTATCACGTGATATTCAGCTTTAGCATTAGCATTACTAGCCGTTCAGTACTTGCAAGAACCTAAGAAACACTTGTTTAAAAAGGTTTAAGTAAATAAAGGGAAGTCTGGTCTTGCTGGGAGGAGCAGACCTACAGTTACTACGGTGAATATCATGATTCAAAACCATTTAAAATTAAAATTTTTAATTTGGGACACTTTTTGCTGATATATTTCCTGCCACTGGGACAAACCTGTAGCAGTCTGGCCTTGCATGTTTCTCGGTTCAAGGTGAGGACCCACTTCATCTATCGGTGCAGATTCAGACCATCACGGCCAAACGTGCACATTTTCACCGATTTGAACGGACATTCGGCAGAAAACCCGGCATGTGACCATAACGGGCTGGAGTTAGGAGAACGGTGTATAGATCGGTTCAAAAAGAGGAAGTCTGATTCTGAAACCGTTTCCCGTTTGAGTCGAGTTAAGATTAAACAGGAGCAACAAATAAAAACGGTCTTTAAATTCAGATACTCCTCATTCCGGTCAGTTGCAGCCTGTCCTCCATAGGGTGTCTCCTAAATGTTTGTACGAGTTTCTGCAACCTCCTCCTATTTACTGTTATCGTTTACTTTTCATTTTTGCTTATTATTCACTGGCACGCCGTTATTTTCACCGTTAACCGTCTGAACCAGCTAAACGGGCCGCTGCGGGCTCACGGGCCGAGTGTCCTACTCACGTTTGCGGGCTTCGGCCACCTTCTCGGCCGCTCTCTTCTCGGCCTGGAGCAGCTGCTGGATGCCCTGCGACTGGCTCGCCATACTGGGTCAGGAAAACAGCGCGGAGCGACGCCGAAGCAATGCAAGCAGCGGAGGAAATCACCGAAACAAGGTCGACGAACGATTTGACTTCTTCCTCTGATGACCGCAGTCAGCTGATGGCGCGTGACGCGCCGGACGGTCACGTGATTGTGTCACGAGTTTCTTCTTCTTCGGTTTTGGGTTGATATTTGTGGCTCTTTGTCACTCCGGGTGGATAGAACATAGTAAAATAAAACCGAACGGGACATAAACAATAGGCCTTTCTCTGACCCTGGGACCAGAGCTGGTTGATCTAACCCACGTCCACAGTGTGAAACACCTAAAACCTGCCTTTACGTCTTCGAGTGACGAGCTCAGAGCCTTTCCACAGACCTGTAAGGGTAGTAAACATTTATCATAGAGCTTTGGACAGAAGACCAACTGTGATTGATGTCATGATGATCTAGACCACACTTTTTCACCTTGTGAGCTACTTTTCAAATGACCAAGTCAAAATGATCGACCTACAGTTAAAATACTAAACATATATTTATTTATACCTTATGTAAACAGAATATATGTTGGCACACCTTGCATAACTGCATGAACCTTAGGACACACTACAGTTCAGTACTTTTTGGTCATTAGTTTACTCTGATGACGTGCACTGAATGGAATCAGCCAGGGCTGCATAGTCCGGACCGTAGCTGCTGGTAGCCAGCCTCCAGCAGACTTCCACATGGTCATCAGTCATGGTGGAGCAGTATTTGGACTTAATAATCTCCATGTGAGAAAATGCTGACTCACATAAATAGTAGAGCCAAATAATACAGTCGATGGCACATTTCCTCATGTTTGGGTAAAACGGTCCATTAGCCCTGGACTTCAGCTGAATGTCAGTCTGTAGTGTCAATGTCTCATCCTCCACTCCAGACCAGTTCAGGTGAAACAGCGTTGCAGTTTTTGATGTGAGTGAATCAACCTCAGTATCTTCCCTAAATGGGCAGCA